AGACTGTCAGCTATCTTGCTCCATGGGCTGGGAAGCCCACTGGAGCCACCTTACTCAGTGGGCCAGGAAGCCCACTGTGCTGTCTTACACTGGTCTCCTGGTTCTTCTGCTGCTGTTTCCTTGTGACCGCTTCTCACCATCTCACACTGTCTCTAGTGTTATAACTCTTTGCCTCCTGGATCTAGGAGGTTCTCAGTGCAGGGACCCTGAGTCCAAAAGACATGCTGTTCTCTTGGCTCTTCTTCTTGATGGTAGTGAGGTCTCCGTTTCAGCCTCTGGGATTGGCTCTCTCTAAGCCTAGAGGGATGACAAAACCAACCAACAAGGGGATCTATGCACTTTATTTGCATGGTCCCATCCCCACAAGGGTTCCATGCACCTAGCAAAACAGTCCAGTCCCTTTGGTGGGCCACAAGTAATTTACTTGCAGTCCCACTCAATCATTTTGTGGGAATCACAAGACTATGGCTAGAAGGGCCATATAATAGTAATTCACTGCATGGTGGATCTTTCTAACTAATAATAATGACTTTCTTCAAATATCTGGTGATCCCAGAATGTCATTTGTATTTGAGAATGAGGTACTAAAATGATGACTAGAAGCTCTGTGTGCATAATGGGGTCTGTTAACTGGTGGCCTTAACTCTAGGGTAATTTGGCCGAAACCTGGCAGCTTTGACTGGGGAGAACCTCAAAATGTTAGTATCTGCTGGTCTTTTCTGGTGTAAGCTAATTTCCTTCTACAAGAAGAATTCTCCAGGCTCCTGACTAGAAGTATAAGCATAGCTGCCAGTGCACTAGAAGCTGAGTAGGGGAAGAGGCAATGTGAGTTTTACAGTTCAGTGTATAGGCATTCACTTAATCCCATGGTTTTCAGTACAACTTTTCAATTCTGCACTCAGCAGTGCTGAGGATCCCTAATCCAGAGTTTTTTTTTTGGTTCAGTATCTCCAGAGATAAACCCTAGGCTCATGTGAGGGAAAAAGATGTATTCACCTAACTATTTGAGTGGAAGAAGGGATCTGGGGCTACGGGATGGTATCTAGCTGCATTGTACTTAAACCATTTCTCCTATATTTAGTCACATACACCACCCATGGCTTCAGAGGAACCTGATTGCAATTCCTGAACTTTCCAGGATTCCACAGAGCGAATAACTTACCAGCGGGTTCGAATTCATCAGCTGCTCCATGGGAGAAACATGTGGCAGTCTGCTTCCTTAAAGATTATAGCCTTGGAAATGCTATGGGGCAGTTCTACTCTGTCCTATAGGGTCACTATGAGTTGGAATCAACTCCACAGCAATGGGGGGATGTACTCTTCTTCACCCCCATGCAGGCCTGTATATTTAAGCTTTCTCTGTTCTATTGGAGAGTTACCATTCATCTACCTGCTGTCTATTATCTACAATTTTGTACATGTCTCCTCTGCTGTTGTTATCTCTCTAGTTCTTTGTCCTTATGGGGTTAAGTATTTTGTTATTCTCTACTTTTGATCATCCTGTGAAATCTTTAAGCCTCCATGCATATCCAGTCACTCTTCTGTCCACTCCCATGAGGGTCTGCCTCATCATGCGAAACTGCTTCTCAGTAAGATAAATAATTATCTCCATCCTGTCCCACAGTTCAATGAATACTCCTCAGTCCCCCATCTTACTTGATCTCTCTGCAGCAATCAACTCAGTTAATCACCATATTTTTCTAGAGAACTTCTATTCTCTTGGCTTCCCTGACATCATCATTTAGAATTTTCTTCCTACCTTACCAGCTGCTCCTTCTCAGGTTCATTTCCTGGCTCTTCCTCCTATACTTGGCCTCTGAATGATGAAGTGTGCTGAGGCATGGTTCAGAGCCCTCTTCTCCAGGTATACTCTTCCTTCCTCCCAGATGATCTTGGCCATCTTTATGGTTTTAAATATAATCTATATTCAGTGGACTCCCAATTTTATGTTTCTTGCTCTGATGTCTTGCTTGAGATCTAAGCTCAGGCATCTAACTGAGACATAGCCTCTTGAATATCTAACAGGTATATTAAACTCAGCATGTCCAAAATTTCTGTCATTTCCAATTTCCACCCCCATCCTTATCCATCTGAATAAATAGAACCAATATCCAACTCTTTGCTAAAGCTTCATAAATAGTTGTCCTTGATTTCTCCCCTTTCCTTAGTCGTCCATTACATGTAGTCTCTCAGCATATCCTGTTGATTTTCGTTTTCTATGTTTAAGACATACCTTGTATTTTTCCACTTAATTTCATCTCCCTTGTGCCCATCCTAGCCCAATCAATAATCAGCTCTCTTAACCGATTTTCTGCTTCCACTCTTGCCCTCCTACAGTCCATTTTCTACACAGCACGGTGGGTGTGAGCTCTTAAAAGTGCAAATTGGTTTGTCTTCTCCTTCCCTTTCTCTTCCCTTCCTGAGCAAAAGCCCTAAAGTCATTAGATGGAGCAGAGCAAGGAAGATGTCAATGTTGGGGAGGAGAGGAGACAACAGTGTCTCAGCACAAGATATAAGACAACAAGCTGGGTAATGAGGATGTCTCCACGAAGTGGAAGCCTGGTATGTGGTGTCAGAGCCTAATGAGGGTGAGGAGAGTTTTCATGCAGTGAGGTAGTGGGGGCATGGTCCAGAATGAGGATCTGAAAATTTATAAAGAGAATATCTGTGAGTTGTGAGACAATAACAAGCAGTTTTCCATATGTGTAACTGGAGTTTCAGAAAAAGGGGGCAACAGAAAAAATATTTGAAGAAACAATAACTGAAAAAAATTCAATATGATAAAAACTATAAATCCACAGATCCCAAGAACTCAATGAATTTCAAGCAAAATAACATTTAAAAATCATACCAAGGTACAACATAACCAAATTGCTAAAAATAAGTGATAAACAGGAAATCTTAAAAGCAGCTAGAGAAAAAAAGATGCATTACATACAGAAGAACAAAGACAAGAATGATAGCAGACTTCTTATGAGAAACCATGCAAACTAGAAGACAATGAAGGAATACCATTAAGGTACTGAAAAGAATAGAGAAAGAAAAATGACTCACTCCTAAGTGTGAGTCTTAGCGCAAACTATTTTCACTTCCCACCTTAATTCCAACTAATCAAAAATAGCCACTTGTAATAATTCTGTGCAGGTACCATTATCTCCATGAAGTCACCAAACCAAAAAAACCAAACCCGTTGCCGTAGAGTCAATTCTGACTCATAGCGGCCCTGTAGGACAGAGTAGAACTGCCCCATAGGGTTTCCAAGGAGCAGCTGGTAGATTCAAATTGCCGACCTTTTGGTTAGCAGCCGTAGCTCTTAACCACTACACCACCAGGGTTTCCAACAACCAAAATTTCTCTCTTCTATGAACACGAGAGAAGCCCTGGTGGCACAGTGGTTAAGTGCTCAGCTACTAACTGAAAGGTCAGCAGTTGGAACCTACCAGCTGCTCCATGGGAGAAAGATGTGGCAGTCTGCGTCTATAAAGATTACAGCTTTGGAAACCCTATGGGGCAGTTCTACTCTGTCCTATAGGGTCATTATGAGTCGGAATCCACTCAGCAGCAATAGGTTTGGTTTGGTTCAGTTTGGTTCAGTGTGGCTTATGAACACCAGCTACCCATAACAAAGAAAAATAATGTGTAGTATTTTAATTATCCCTATCTGTTGCTTGCCTAACATGAATAATTTAAAAAATTAAGAGATAATTTACATACAAAAACATTCACACTTTTTACTATACAGTTCTATGAATTTTGATAAATGTTCAGCTGCATAACTGCTATTATAATCAAGATACAAATTTCCATCACCCCTCAAATTTTCCTCATGACGGTAGTCAACTTCTTACCTTGGCCAGTCCCCTGAAGACCTCTGATCTGTTTTCTACCCAAAGGTTTTAAATTTTCCAGAATTCATATGAATGAACTCCTTAATATGTAACTTTCTGAGTTGGCTTCTTTCACTTAGAAAAAGGCATTTGAGATTTATCTATGTTATTGCATGTATCAGTGGTTTGTTCCTTTTGTTGACTGAGTAGTATCCCATTGTACAGATGTACCATAGTGTACTTATCCATTGACCAGTTAAGGGACGTTTTGATTGTTTCCAGATTTTGAATAAAACCTCCACAGACATTCACATACAAGTTTTGTGTTGGATAAATCATTTTAAGTTGGAAAAGAATAAGATTATACCATTTATGTCAATGGCATAATTAAATCATTGTGCTTAGAGCAAAATAGAGACACAAACAAAGGTAGTGTTATTACTTGAACAAATAAAAACGAACAATCAAAGAAAAAATTAAAAAGCCCTAACCAGATAAAGAGAAAACACAGTCACGAGGAAAGGGAGAAAATATATATCAATAGAAAAAAAGCAAAAACAAGTATTTTAATAACATACTACAAAGGACTGCAAGGAAATCAAGGGTATGTACTATGAAAGGCAGGGATAATACTGATGTTTAAATCTAATAAAAGCAGATAGAGCCATTGAAGAGGAAAAATAAATGAAAGATGGAGAAGTATTGTCATATATGATCAGAAATTCCCAATGAATATTCCAGGGAAAAGCCTCACATCCACCTTGAGCACAACCAGCCCAAGAAATGGCACCTCGTTATCAGAGACCCCCACCACAGCGACTATAACAGGCAACATGTCTTCCTCAAACAGTCTAACCAGTGTCACAACAAGTTGGACATCCTCCCCAGTCACCAAAAATACAGCCAGTATGACCAGTGCTGTATCTTCTGTGATCACACCAAACCCAAAAAGTGTGATCACATCAAGCCCAAATGGTGATATCGCCTCATCAGACACCCCAGCCACAGCCACAATAGGTAACGTGTCCTCCTCAACCAGTCTGACCAGTGTCACAACAACTGCAACGTCTTCCCCAACCACGCACAACACAGTCAGTATGACCAGTGGTGCATCCCCCATAACCATATCCAACCCAAAAAATGAGACCTCCTCATCAGACACCTCACCCACAGCCCCACCACAGATGACATGTCCTCCTCAACCAGTCTGCTCAGTGTCACAGCAAGTCCAACGTCCTCCCCAACCACCCAGAACACAGCCAGTAAGACTAGTAATGCATCCTCCGTAAGCACCACATCAAACCCAACAAGTGACACCTCCACATCAGACACCTCAACCACAGCCACCAGCACAGGTGACACGTCCCCCTTGAGCAGCCTGACCAGTGTCACAGCAAGTGCAAAATCCTCTCCAACCACTCAGAATACAGCCGATAAGACCAGTGATGAGTCCTCGGTGACCACATATAACCCAAAAAGTGACACATCCTCATCAGACTCCTCAACCACAGCCACCACCACAAGTGACATCTCCTCCTTGAGCAGTCTGACCAGTGTCACAAGTGGGACACCCACCCCAAACACCCAGAACACAGCCAGTAAGACCAGTGATGTATCCCCCTTGACCACATACAACCCAAAAAGTGACATCCTCATCGGAAACCTCAACCACAGCCACGACCACAGGTGACATGTCCTCCTTGAGCAGTCTGACCAGTGTCACAAATGGGAAACCCATCTTAACCACCCAGAACACAGCCAGTAAGACCAGCGATGTGTCCTCCATGACCAGTGAGGTGTCCTCTGTGACCACATCTAACCCGAAAGGTGACACCTCCTCATCAGACACCTCAACCACAGCCACCACCACAGGTGACATGTCCTTCTCGAGCAGTCTGACCAGTTTCACAGCAAGTGTGACATCCTCCCCAACCACCCAGAACATGACCACTAAGACCAGTGATACTTCTTCCATGTCCACATCCAACCCAAAAAGTGACACCTCCTCTGACACCTTAAGCACATCCACCACCATAGGTGACATGTCCTCCTTGAGCAGTCTGATTAGTATCACAAGTGAGACACAAACCTCAACCACCCTAAACATAGCTAATATGACCAGTGGTGCATCCTCCACGATGACACCAATCCGAAAAAGTGATCCCTCCTCATTGGACACTCCAACCTCTGCTACCACAGCAGGTGACATGTTCTCCTTAAGCAGTCTAACCACTGTGACAACAAGTGGGACATCCTCCCAAGCCACCCAGAATACAGCCAGTATGACCAGTGGCATGTTTTCTGTGACCACACCAAATCCAAAAAACGTGACCACACTAAACCCAAAAAGTGACACCTCCTCATCGGACACCCAAACCACAGCTACCACAACAGGTGACATGTCCTCTGTAGGTAGTCTGACCAGTGTCACAGTAAGTGGGATGTCCTTTCCAACCAAATAGAACATAGGCAGTAAGAGCAGTGATGCATCCTTTGTGACCACGTCCAATCCAAAAAGTGACACCTCCTTATTGGCACCCCAACTACAGCCAACTCAGCAGGTGACATGTCCTCCTCAAACAGTCTGACAAGTGTGACAATTTGGATGCCCACCTCAACCACCCAGAATACAGCCAGTATGACCACTGATACACCCTCCATGACCACATCAAATCCAACAAGTTATGTCTCCTCATTGAACACACCAGCCACAGCCAGTATGACCAGTATATCCTCCATCACCACATCCAACCCCAAAAGTGACACCCTCTCATTGGACACCCCAACTGCAGCCACCACAACAGGTTCCATATTCTCCAACAATTTGACCACTGTCACAAGTGGGATGCTCTCCCGAACCACCCTGCCTACAGCCAGTATAACCAGTAGTACATCCTCCATGACCACATCCAACCCCAAAAGTGACACCCTCTCATTGGACACCCCAACTGCAGCCACCACAAGAGGTGACATGAACTCCTTGAGTAGTCTGATGAGTGTCACAGCACACAGGATATCTTCCCCAACCACCCAGAATACAACAAGTATGACCGATGATGATCCTACGTGATCCCATCCGAACCAAAAAGTGACACCTCCTCATTGTACACCCCAACCACAGCCACCACAACATGTGACATGTCCTTCTCAACCAATTTGGCCAGCGTCACAAGTGGGGCGCCTTCTCGAAGCACCCAGAACACAGCCAGTAAGACCAGTGATGCATCCTCTGACACCACATCCAACTCAAAGAGTGACACCTTCTCATCAGACACCCCAACTACAGCCAACACAACAGGTGATATGTCCTTCTCCAGCAGTGTGATCAGCATCACAGCAAGTGGAACACCCTCCCCAGTCATCCTGTCTATAGCCAGCATGACCAGTGGTATTACCTCCATAATCACATCCAACGAAAAAAATGACACCTCTTCATCAGACAACCTAACTACAGCCACTATAATAGGCGAGAGGCCCTCCCCAACTCAAGTGATCACAGCTGTCACAAGTGTGACACCCTCCCTAGGGGCCTGGATAACAACTCTTGCAGCAGGCGCAGTGTCCTCTCCTGGCATGATAAACACAACTGGTGAGACAAATGATGTGTCTTCCCTCAGCACTCTGCCTCCAGCTGGCATAACAAGCGAGGTGTCTCTGGGCATCCCAACAACTACCACTGGGAGAAGTGTTGCATCTGCTATTACTGTGACTACCTCAACTGTTTTGACAGCACCCACCTCGTCTGCCACTACCATCCTGACAAACATTACGCCCTCCAATACAGCCTTAACAGGTAATATTTTGTAATCTATCTCAACTCCATTTACCACAACCACCTTTTCCCTCTTGATTCTTCCATGTGTACTGCTCAGTACTCCCACTTTGTCTCTTTACTATGACATCAGTGAATCTACTCTGAATCTACCTCTGCTCTTAGTTTACTCATTTTTGCTCCGTCTACAAACACAAGAGCTGTATCAGATTTTGTCACACGTGTCTTGACCACATCCACTTATCACCAAAGTTATATCAGCTTCTAGATCCCCTGAACCAGCATGACCATTGCTCCTCAGGCCACATTACCACAACTACCTAAATGTTTCAAATTTTATCACCTCTACTTTAAGCACGCTTACATCTATCTATTCCAGTAATTAAGTACCACATGCCAACCACAGCCACCATAACTCTGCTCAATCAAAATCACCACGTACACAACCACCACTGCATTAGAGTCTATCATCCCTACCCTATGTCTACCCACATCTGCTCCAGTGACCACCACTGTTAGGGGGAACTATCCCATACATGCAGCTTTCAATGTGTCTGCTCCAATAAATAGCTTGTTCTACAACGCTGCTATCTCATGGTCATATCTTTTTCCCTGAGCAGCTTCAAACCCCCTCAAACTCACTGTATACTTAGTAAATGAAGTTCTTTTACTTTCGCTCCACACGCAGCCACCTCTATTTAATTCTCTGTCATAGTTACTACTGTGCCTTCAGGAGGTCTGATTCTTCTTCCTCTTTCTCCAGCAGCCACATCACTGTTGAATCAGAGTCTATCATCTTTTCTCCAAGCACACCCACTTCTACTTAGGTGACCAACACACACCTAAGTAGATTCTACCATACTCACTTCAAACATAATACCTTTCTCTCAATCCACCACTAACACCACCACTACCATGACCAATAGATCATATTCTACTACCTCTGCAACAAACACAACCACTTCTACTCTGGTGCCTTAGTGGTCTAGTGCTGCTGTAACAGAAATACCACAAAAGGGTAGCTTTAACAAACAGAAATATATTTTCTCACAGTTTAGGAGGCTGGAAGCTTGAATTCAGGGTCCCAGCTCTAGGGGGGAAGGCTTTCTCTGTTGGCTCTGGAAGAAGGTCATTGTCTCTTTTGAGCTTCTGTTCCTGGGTGATCTTCATATGGCTTGGCATCTCAGGTCCCTCACCTCCGTTTGCTCACTTGCTTGTTTGAGATACAAAAGAGATTTTATATCTTAAGACACACCCTACACTAATACTGTCTCATTAACTTAACAAAGAAAACCCATTGCCAAATGGGATAATAACCACAGAGATAGAGGTTAAGATTTACAACACATATTTTGGAGGGACACAATTTAATCCATAACATCTGGTAACCATACTCACAGGTGATTCTGACTCAATCATCTCTGCTCTAATAGTTAAACCTACCTCTATGTTATTCCATCCTAAAAATAGATTATGCTCTGTCACCTTTTCCCCAGGCACCAGGACCACTGAACACCAATCATCCACTCCCATCCCTGTCACCACGGCCTCTGGAATGGACTCCATGACACCTACTATCAGCTCCACCATCCCTAGAATATTCCTGGGCACATCCACTATTGGAGCATCATCTGCCACCTCAGTCCCAGGTATGAGGACCACTGGATCTATCCATGAGCCATCCACCACTCTTGGAACCAGCGCCACTTCCCATAAAATAAGCTCAGTGACAGTGGACACAAACACAATTAATGTGAGCCACACACCAACGAATGTGATTAAACCAAGTGGCTATTTGCAGTCCTGGAGCATCACCCTTATTTCTCTGGCTGTAGCTGTGGTCAGTATTGGACTGTTAGTAGGACTCAGTTTTTGCCTGGTGAGTGACTAGGATGGGTTAATGGGAGAATATGCATGAAAAGATAGCTCATGAGTGAGAGTGGAATTCATGGAAATACGGTTACGTTATGCAGAATGAGATAGGAGCAAAATAGTTAGAGTGGTAGGAAGAAAAGAATCACATAACGTGATTTAAAGACCAGGAAAGAGTGAGTCAGAGAAAGTGATAGATGTAGAGAAAAGCAGAAAAAGAGGAGGAAAAAGATGAAGTGGAGGACAAACTGAAAGGAAAGTATGTTGATGGTGAAGATAAAGAAGGTATTTAAGGAAAATTGCTTCTCTTAATAAAACAAAATTTGGAAGTTAGAATATTTTAGCAAGGAAAGGAGACTCTCCAGGGATTGAGGGGTCTTTAGGCCCTGTCATGGATCGAATTGTGTCCCCCAAAAAATGTGTGTAGCAACTTGGCTAGGTCATGATTCCTAGTATCGTACAATTGTGTTATCTGATGTGATTTCCTTATGTGTTGTAAACTCTATCATTGTGATGAGGTTATATGGATGAGGTTGACAAGATCAGTGTCTTAATGCAATCTCTTTTGAGATATAAAAGAGAGAAGTGAGCAGAGACACATAGGAACCTCGTACCACCAAGAAAGCAGTGCCGGGAGCAGAGTGCGTCCTTTGGACCTGAGGTTCCTGTGCAGAGAAGCTCCCAGACCAAGGGAAGACTGATGACAGGGAACTTCCTCCAGAGCCCATGGTGAAAGCATTCCCCTGGAGCTGAAGCCCTGAATTTGGACTTGTAGCCTACTGGACTGTGAGAGAATAAACTTCTCTTTGCTAAATCCACCCACTTGTGGTATTCCTGTTAGAGCAGCACCAGATGACTGAGACAGGCCCTTTCTCTGTTTTCTTACTTCCATTACAGATTTTAACACTAGCTATCCATGAGAAAAGGAGACCCTGGGTAGTGCAAATGGTTAAGCGCTAAGCTACTAATAAAAAGGTTGGCAGTTCGAACACACCCAGAGTTCCTTGGAAGAAAGGCCTGGCAATCTGCTTTCAAAAGGTCACAGA